TCTTCTTGTATCTTATAAAGTAAACATATCGCAAAAAATAATTTAAAGAATTAAAGTTCAGAACTGATCGACACTGTTTTCTGCTGTCATCGACAATGACGGAGAATGAACAAACAAGCACCGTGATGATGACGAGAGAAAGGGAGAAAGCGACGCATGGAATAGGGGTAGTGCGCCAAGGGGGGTTGGTTGCACGCGCGTCGAAGCGGGCGGTGGGTTGAAAGGGGTAACGGGAGGCTGAAGAGAGAAAGAGCGGGACACGCGAGGAGGGTGTAGCGGATAAACGGCAAGACGAGGATGCAAGAGGGAAATGCACGAAAGAAAAAGAGAAGAGGAGGGGGAGGAGGAGAATGGTGGTAGGGACAAACGAAGAGCAATGAGCGGGGGGGTGTAGATCGGGGTGATAGACGGGGTTGGAAAGTGGCGTACGATGAAGCGAGACGCACAGAGGGAAGAATGGGAGGATTCGGGGTGGCGAGGACCGAGGCAGGGAGCGGGAGAGAGAAATGGGAAACAGAGAGAAAGAGAGAGAGGGAGAGAGAGAGAGGGGGGGAGGGGGGAGGGGAGGCAACCTCCGGCAACGGGTCGATCGAAAGCGCAGCGCAGAGAAATGCACCACCTCTGCTCTGGTCTGGCAGCTTTGCGGGCGCACCACCGCGTCCGCGTGCGTCAGAAAGAGAGAAAGAGAACGACGGCGCGGGAGAGGGAGAGATGGAAAAAGAGGGAGAGAGAAAGGGACTGACGGAAGCGGAAGGGAGACCGACGTACATCCGCCGACCAATACCGACATAGGGGGAGGAAGACGAGAGGAGAGCCAAGCCAAGTCGCGTTGGGCTAGGTCAGGTCTACCCGAGTTCCACACACACCGTGCTCTCTTGCGTGTGCCATCCCGCCGAGGAGAGAACCGCACGAAGGCGGAGGCACAACCCCTTCGCGAAAGAGAGAGAACCGCCGTTGAAACCACCCGGTACTTCGCGAGTGGATTCTCCGAAAGCGCTTCGAAATTTTGAAAAGAAAAAAAAAAATCCGCCCGTCGCGTTCGCCAGTGGCAACGGATAGATCGGTGCCGAAGAGTGTGCTCGCACGGGAGGGAAAGCCGGTGATAGTGCGCGTTCGTCGGATGACGCTTCGAAAAGGATGACGCGGAAAAGATATCCCGATCGGTAGTGAATAATCGCTAGTGTTGATGCGCGTGTGTCGGGCCTTAAGCTAGAATCGATTTTCTCTCAATCTCCGCTCCCGAAGGAAGGTGAAGGAAGTAAAAAAGAGAGAAGTGAGGAAAGACATCTCCCCGAAGGAGATTCCGATCGTCGATTCGCTCGGTGGCGGCGGCGAGAATTGGCATTGTTGACAAACAACGAAAGTGGACGGCGATTCGGGCAAGGAAATGTCGTCCGATCAGTAGGAATACTAGGAATCGATTGCAATTCCCTTTTTTCGATGTCCTGATAATCGATAAGCGTCGTCGACGCGTAGGTGGCCGCGTAGGGACCGCCTAGGTAGCGAGAGCCGGGGCAGCGATCGGCCTTACCGACGTAATTTCTCGCCCTCGTCCTCCGTGCAACGTCCCTCGACGTGATCACAGTTGGATTAAATAAATGTTGAGGGTAAACGGCGCCCTGCGTCGCCCGCTAGCGCGAGGCCAGGAGGATCGGGCCCTAAGTGCAACCGGGGTCGGCGCGATGCCGGTCTCTCTGAGGAACCACAGGATCACATAAAGAGTGTGCCCGCCGGTCCCCGACGATTTTAGAGCCCTTCGTACTGCGCACGCACGGTCGCGCAACGGCAAAGGGATCGTGACAGAAGAGGGTGTTCTCCGGGTGTTATCCAAAGTGGTGAACCTACCTACGCCACCACCTCGAGGAACAACACTGTCGTCGCGTTTGGCGGCATCCGATGCACCAAAAGCTGTGAGTACTATAAATCCGGCTTCCGACCGATTGACATCGCACAATTAGCACGTATCGCGAAGTACGAGGGGAATACATTCGTCAAATTATAGAATGTGTCACTAGAGAAGAATCGAAAATAACAATACAAATTTTCTCAAGTAATCCTTCGCTGTTCTGGAATTCTAAAGTGAAAAAACACAGGGATGTACGCGGCCGACATCGCTGCCTCGGAACTAACAGTGGTGAGAAAAATGGAGCTCTGTGTACAGCCCCCTTCACTATCCCAAATATTTGGCAATAGTGAGAAAATCAGTTCTCTGAGATATATAGATATTCTTTTTATGTACGTATGATTGTTTTTAACGAGTTTTGTTTCGGAAGTGTAAAGGCCAATAGACATTTCAAATTTCGAATAGCTTCAATGGAATATATTACGAAGGGATAATAGAAAATGGAAATATATATATACATATATACACATATATATACACATTATTTTCATTCGAAAAAGATTGATAATTATAAGTGATATATAAAGAAATTAGAAAAATTTACAATGCAACGCGTAGCGACCGACCAAAACATCATATATATCCTTTTGCTGGGGATCGATCCCGTACAATCACGGCTGCAATTTTTGCAATGTTGCTTCTGCAACGTTCTTCCGTGTAAAATGCGATGCATTGCGTGTCATTTGAACAATTGCAGTGGCAGTTTCCAAATTTTTCGTTCGGAAATTTTATTGCAAGGTGAAATTCTAGGAAGAAAGAGAAAATAAAATACCGTCATCGATAAATATTAATTAAAAGAAGCAATTTAATTGTATCGAGAAACGATCAATTAATTCTGGTGACATAAAAAATTAATTTTTTTGTTTAAAAAGAATAAAATAGATACATATAAATAATTGAAAGTTGATGAAAAATAAATATCACAATATATGGGATAATCGAGAAAAATATATCGGCGCCAAACAGAAACCGCATTATATAATATATTCGCCCTTTCGACATTTTCCGTGAAGGAAATATAGGAAAAAAATAAAGAAGCTTAGGATTTCGAATACAAAAATCAATTTTCGGAGGAACTTACAAGAGGATGAAAATAACCAATTGTTTGTCGTCGAGAAAAAAATTGAAAAGCCAAGCTTCTAAGTATCTGTAAAGGAGAAATGATCTCTGTAGAATAATGATTTGAAAAGGATGGTTAACCGCTACTTAAAAATCGCAAAGCTTTCCGTGTAAATTTACATTGATTACGTTTCAGCGAAAGAATTAATCTCGAAAATGCGATGTCCATTTTGTAAGAAATCTATTTTCCTGAGAATTCGGGAACATGATAAAACGCTTTTGGTCGGAAAATCGCGTCGAAAGCATACGCGAGCGAGCGGTTTGCGATACCGGCGATGCGCGATGCGATTTTCATGGAAATCGAAATCCACCGGGTAGCGAAAACCCTCAGCGGGTGGTAGCGGGCGGGGAGGACTTCGGAGTTTATGCCCCCGTCCGCCCCACCACCCCCTGCTTCTCCTTCCTTCCTTCCTCCCTCCCTCCCACCCCTGCAGTCGATCAATGCGTGGACGGGTTTCACTTTCGCGGTGTTAAAGTGTTGCACCACCGCAAATTGAAGAGCCCGCACTGTCGAGAAAACTGGATTGCGGATAGCGATTCGTTCAATGACATTTTCCGTGCTGGCAATTATTTGATATTTTTTTCATAGAAAAAATTCTTTGTGATATTAATTTGATGTTTTAACATCATCTCTAACTACACGTGAACGTGATAGTATTATTTCGAATCTGTACTGTAAGCACATGGATTATACGTCACTCTTTTCGAATATTGTCTAAAATAAGATCTCCGAATCGAAAGCATGTGGAAAATATGATCAAGAAACTATTCTAGACTTACTGACCATTAAATGTCTTTATTCGTTTGTTACTTATTTTTGTATCGATTTAATCGGTTCCAAATAGTTTATGTTTCGATTCGAGTATACTGCAAATTTATCATTTCCCAGAGTTGCGCGAATATATGGAGCAAGGAATAGAACTGCGCACCGCCAGGACTTTTTAATTATTCCTTCGATAACGATCGCGCCGGTTAACTTTTGCGAGACTTAATGATGACGCCTGAGCTTAATCGAGTGTTTGCTCGGTGATAAAAATAAAAAACGTAAACCTATAAAAAAATAACAGGTAAAAAATAGTGGGCATCAATGGCGAAGCTTCGATTATTCATTCGAAGTGTTATTGAACGGACGAGAGTGGAATATACGAGCTCACTTCCTAGAGATCGTTAGCAAGTAGGATCGAGTAACAAGCGAAAGATAACACACATGTGACAGCGATATATATGATAAAATTAATAATCTCAAAACGTACTATAAAAATTCAAAGCCTTTCTAATGTACATATAATCCGCTTAAAAGGACATTTAATCCGTCATTCGATTGTACTTTCCGTGGCTACCACAGGAATATAAATTAACTACTATTATAGAATATTGTAGAATATTATACAAGTCCTTAAGCTGTAATGCAGATTCTACCATAATTCATAATGATGAAAGTTGAGATCATTTTGCGCACGGAAAAATTTTACCGAAATATCTAAAAATTTATAGCTAGAGATACACATTTAAAAATAATATTGTTGAACCATCAAAATAATTACGTAGTATTTATAATTACGTAGTGTAGTAACTCAAGTATGATAAGCAATGCTGTGAAAAAATATTTATATTTTAGGAACTATCTTCCTAAGAAATTATTTTCCAACAAAATTATTTTTAGATTTGTATCTGGCTAAATTTTTAAATATTTTTAAAAAACTGGTTTTCTTTCGTGCAATAAATTCCATGAAATAATTTTGTTAATCTTTGTTTGTGTACATCGTAAATGTAGCAGATATTCCAAATATAGAAAATATATTATTAAAGTTAATTATAATTATTTTCTCTCCTATTTCAAACTGTAATTGTATGTTATTAAAATTAAAAAAAATAAACAATAAGATTAGAAACAATTTAAAAAATGAGGAACATTTTCACGCAAATATTTCGCATCTTCTGGCATCAAATGATAAAGAGTTTTCGATTCTATTTGCAGCAAAGGATGGAGGCTAGCGAGTGGGATCACGCGACCTTGAGAGAGGAAGAATTCGAGCAGCATGCCGTATATTTGGTACCGGATGTGTCGGCATCACCGGGCGATACCAATCGTGCCGAGTCGTCCTTGCCACGGAACCTGGTCCTCAAACCCTCTCAGGCTCTCAACGATGTATGTTCTTTTGCAAAACAAAACTCGTCTCGAAATCTCAGTAGAAAGAAGGAGCTGCGTGTTTAATCGTGATCGCATCAGATTATCAATTCCTCGACGCTATCTAAACTCACGCAAAGTCACGCGAAAAAACTGTGATCATTTCCAGAAAAAAAATTACAATCTACTACAATGAAGCATTAAACGTCATCAAGCTGCAAAAATTTTGGGATTTAAATAGATATTTGTACACGCGAGAAATATTAATTGTAGACTAAGAAAACTACTAGTAGAAATTTGGTAATAATTTTACTTTTAGTCTCTCATTTAAAGTTTTCTTTTCATCTGTCTGCCATAGTCTATAATCAGCACAAATTCCAATTACAATTTACATAACGTACTGAATTTTCAGGATATTCACTGAAATCTTGTAAAAAAATTTTCTCAGAATTCTTTAATTTTTTCTAGGTATTTTTGTTGAAAATTTTAGATAATATATTAGAGAATTTTGTAATGCAACTTTGAAATAAATTAGAAGTAATAAATTAGAAGCAATAAAAACAAATTATATATTACAAATTAGCAGAAAGGGATTCCCCACGAGATATCTATCTATAAATACAATTGGAACCGCGAAACCTACATAGAGATAGTTCACGACAATATCAAGCTATTTTTCCTGAGCACTGATAAAAATTCCGTAAAAATCTTTAATTTCCCTAAGGA